GCTTTGCAGAGTTCACATAAAAATTACTAGTTAATCTGTAATTTCTATTTGGCAACAAAACATTATAATTAAAATAAAATAAAAGTAGTATTTTAGACTTGAGATGTACCTGACATGTTTAGTAAACTAATGCTTACATTCAAAGACTTTAAAAACTGAAGAAAGAAAATAATGAGGATTATTATTTAAGCTCATATATTATTTAAACTTTTAAGTGTTTTTTTAAAAAAGTATTCCTTTAGTTATTCAGTAAACATTAAATCATTTTATAAAATGCAAGAGTAGTTTTATAAATAATATAAAACACAACTTTCATAAAAATACAATTAGCAATAAAATACATAAAGCAATAAAGGCTCATAAAAAAACAAACTAGCAATAAAGAAACTAAAGAGTTTCATTACATTTCAAGTCAACAATTATATTTTTTTATTGTTTTTTTTTTGATGCAGAAGTACTAGCAGATTTTCTCTTTCTAGAACTAATTTCTTTTTCAGCCATAAGACGCTGTTTTACTGGTGTATCAGTGAGTATTTCTGTATGCTTTCTTTTTGATCTAGTGAGTATTTCTTTCCTGGGTCATGCTTTTGGTAGCGGTCTTACAACCTCAGGGGAAAATTTTGAAACCGGAGATGGAATTGCATCTGAGGTTGAAGTTGATATACTAATATTAGATTGGGTTGCTGGACGATCCGTAACAAATGATGGAGCAAAATCTGCGTCTGAAAATATATCCTTATTATATGGCAATATTCCTGCCACTCTAAAACCAGAAGATATATTTTGTTGTATAAGAGAATGTAGTAATGCTATTTTTTCAATTCCTGGTAAATCATACATACTCATTGTTTTCCCTGGACTACTTTTTATCCATGAGTCTTGTGCATTAGCTAAGCATTTTTTAAATGGTCCGAATACAGATCTATCTAGAGGTTGCAACTTATGCGAGCAATGAGGAGGGAAAGAAAGCAAAACTATACCATTATCTTTACACAATGTTATTAATTAAATAGATAAATGAGATTGATGATTGTCTAAAAGTAATAACACAGAGCTTTCTTTTGATGGCTTCACATGTCAAATAAAGTGGTTTATATAAGTAACAAAGCACTCCTCATTCATCCAGCCTGATCCATTCGAAGCACCAATGCAATCATTTGGCCTATCACGAATAAAGTGATCAAAGAATTTCTTTCTTGGAAAAAAAAAACATTGGAGGCACACTATTGCCATATGCATTTACGGCTATTACCATTGTCACTAATGCCCCTCGCTCTTGAGAAGTTAACGCACCCACTTGCTTAATACCTTTACGAGCAATTATTTTGTTTGGTTTTTGCACAGTGGTGATACCAGTCTCATCAACATAAAAGATATTTGATGCAAAAAAATGATGTCTATCTAAAACATCTGATAATTTTTGAAAAAAAACACCTACATTAGCACTATTAAAGCTAGTTGCTCATGCAAGACTTGTTGCTTCTGGAGTTCTGATAGACAATCTTGGATGTCGGTTTAAAAACCCTCTCATCCAATCAGGACTAGCCATGGAATGTTTTAACCACAATTTGGGAAAAATAATACCATGCTTTACTGCACATTCAAATGCAAGCTTTCTTGTTTCATATAGTGATAATCCAAAATAGATATCAGAAGCTATTGATATATATATGAAGCAATAGCTATTTCTTGTTCATAAGTAAAAACTTGATTCTTTTTATATCCAGGATAAGGTAGTGGCATTCCCATATCAACAGTTTTTTTAACTTTTTTTATATAATGAGAAAGAGTCGAGTAGTGGATTCCAAATTTTTTTGCTGATGCACAAACTGATGTTACTCTTCCATCAATAACGTGACTTGCTGCCTCTATTACTACTTCTTTTGGATAAAGTCCTTTTTCAGTTTTTCTCTTGTAAGTTCGCATTTACAATTTTTATTAAACCTCTAAATAACAGTTCAATCAAATAACAACAAAAAAACACATTACAAAAATCATTTTATATAAATTAGTCTAAATTGCTACATTTATTTATATATCTATTAATGTTTTAAGTATGTACTTAATAATAATATTTTAATAATGTAATTATAACTTGTATGTATGTATGTATGTATGTATGTATGTATGTATGTATGTATATAAATGTATACATATATATAATATATAAATGTATATATATATATATATATATATATATATATATATATATATATATATATATATATATATATATATATATATATATATATATATATATATATATATATATATATATATGTATATATATATATATATATATATATATATATATATATATATATATATATATATATATATATATATTATATAATCCTCGAATATAAATATAAACATAAACTTATCTTTTATATTATTAGACATATATACATATGCTTTATAAATATAACATACATATGTACGTTACATAGCCTTATCTTTAAAGTTATAATTTTTTTTCAAAAACTTCTTTGCTGTCTTGTTATTAAAAAAACGTCCATTATTTAAGAAATAACTAGAAAAGTGCGTAAAATCCTTCGACCATATAAACTGAGTATTCAGTTTATATGGTCGAAGGTAAAATCAATAAAATCCGCAGTTCTTTTGTGATTCAACTTACCCCCAACAATTTGATGCAACTTACCCCGTAGCACGGCTGTTTCACTCAATATAAAAGCGAGCCTGACGTCACGAGTTTATCAAAAAAAAAAGTATTTCCGCATAAAAAGTATAAAAATTCATTAACTTTAAAATAATAGTATTTTTTTTCTATAAATGCTTTCATCTTCAAATAAAAAAAATATAAAAGATCTATCTTTCCTTGTTAAATAAACATTTACATTAAACGGAATAAAAATGAAAGCTGTAAAAATATTGTTAATAATTTGGCATCACTTTTCTGATTTTTGCGATTTTTACGCAAAACCTGTCTTAGGCCAACTAAGATTTGATAACATAGCTACATGGTCGATGGTTGAAATTTAGAGCAGTTATTAATAAATGCCTGTTCTATCTAGATTTCCACAGACTTTGCAAGTTTTTATATAGAAAGTTAGTTTTTAATGCATTTATATTTTTGTTTTTATTCGTTTTGAATAAAAAACATAACATTTTTGAAAAGTCTGTGGATTTAGTAATACTTCAACCTTATATGAATAAGAAAATCAAAAAATTATTTTCTGTACCTCTAGCTATGTTATCAAATATGTTTTCAAACTTGGCATGTTTAGCGACATTTTTTTTAGGTTTTTTTGCATAAATTCTTGTTTACATTTTAAAGCGGTGACGCAAACTCTGATCGTTACGTCCCCAACGATTATCGGATGCATTTTAAGAAAACAAACAAAACAAACGAGACACATTTTATAGAATAAATAACAAAGTTTCGCGGATTACTTTCTCTTGGATATTTGACTAATTTCAGATAAGTTGATTAATCCGATTTTATCTAGTGCATCTATTTGTCAATATTATTCTATTTAAGTTGTTTGTATTATAATTTTATTACTATATCAATAAAGATTATAAAAAATAAATTAAAACCTCCTCATCGCCAACAGAAACATGTCTTATTAATTTTAAAGACCGTTTTGCACATATTAGGCCTCTCTTTATTGAAATGAATATTTTAAATATATTTCAACTAAATGTATTTAATGTACTATGTTTTATGTTTAAATGTAAAAACCATACAGCTCCGGTTTCTTTTCACAATTTATATTCCTCAAAAGAAAAAAATAAGTATAATTTACGAAATGATAATTTCATTCTACAACCTGTTTTTAAAACAAATTTAGGCAAGTTTTGTATTTCTTTTCGAGGGGCGTTTCTGTGGAACAATATAGTTTTGAAACATTTTGATTTTTCTCAAGGCTGGAACTTCTTTGCATTTAAAAGAAAATTAAAAAACATTATTCTCTCTACTGAAAACATACTTGTATATTTTTAATTTTAATTACTTTGATTTATTTATAATGTTTATACGAATTCTTATATCTAAAATATTTGTTTGATCACATACTTGTTTATTTAAATTTAGTTTTGTTAACTTTGTTTTGTACGGCTAGTGTAACATGCTGATTTATACATTTTATATTATTCATTTTGCATTTTATATATTCATGCAAAGCGTTAATTTTTACTTCTAACTTTTATTTTAAAAACTTTATTAGACTTCGTTTATTTATTTTATATACATTACGAAATTATTTTTAAATACGAAATGATTGTCAGTTGTAAGCGGTTCTTGATGACAAGATCATAAGATCTGCAAATTCTGCAAGTCTCCGCGTTCTTCTTTTTTTATATTAACAAAAGTTGTAATTTTTATTTGTATGCATTTCTTATTTCTTTTATTTGATTGTAATAGTTATTTTGAATAAATAAAAAGAACATAAAAAAAAAAAAATAATATTTCACTAAGATTGTTTTTTACTCTCCGGTGTGGTCCGGTGTTGGTTCGGTGTGGTCCGGTGTGATACGGTGTAGTCCGGTCTAGTATTCGTATACACCCAAATTTTATTACTGCTACCATAGTCTTAAGAATAAATTTATATTTCTTATGACTAAATATATTTCTTATTACTATGCTGCTACTTAATCTAATTTGATGAGGTTATATTTTTAACGTAATTGGATAAATGTTATATAATTTTATATATGAAAAAATTATTTTATTGCAAATATAAGTATCGTGCTTACGAAACTTACCTGTTTCTGCTCTGTAAACCGTAAAAATAACTGTCAAATTTTTTTAAAAGTAGGTAGTTAAAGTTGACTGACTTTCGCTATCAAATTAAATTAAATTTTTTTTTACAGTCAGACATCTAAATACTTATTCTAATTTATTTTTCTAGCGTCCTATGTGTAAGCCGCAACATATTTAGGATGTAAAAAAAATGTTTATTGATAAATAAAATTTAAAAAATTAAGTATTTTGTTTTGTTTTTGTTGTATATGTAGTTATTTTTCTGCGGTTATAGTTCTAAAATTGTGCTTAAAGGACAGCAATGCATCCAGCTGCAGAATGTTTAGCTGGTTCTCTAGCAACATGTGTTGCTTGCTTATTTACAAACCCATTAGAAACTATAAAGACAAGAATGCAACTTCAGGGAGAACTTCAGGTAATCTTTGATATATTAAAAGAAACTCACGTGTTAAGAACTCATGTTTAGTTAAAAGAAAAATGATAATATCATGATAATATCATGAAAAATGATAATATCAAAAACAAAATGATAATATCCTATGTCATAGGATATTATCATTTTTTTTTTAATGCAGTCATAGGCTATGACTGCATTGAGAGTCTTGTGCACCACTAACTCCTTTAAATAGCTAAGATTTACTATCTACATACACTTCTGAATAGATTTAATAATTAAACTAAAATCTGTACTCAATAAAAATGCAGATTTTAACATTACTCCAGAATCAGGGTATTTCTTAATATTTTATTTTATTTATTTAACATATTTGAGAGGTTAGAAAAGTTATTTGAGAGGTTAAAAAATATGTATTTTTGTGTAAAACATTAAAAAGTAAAAATTTATTATCACATAAAACTCATGTTTTTTATATTCATTATTGTCTTTCTTGATTTCCTATTCAAATTTCAAAGTATTTTATAGGGTAATAGCAAACAATTTAAACAATTTTCCAAAATCAATTAAACTTCTCTGTAACAACTTATGTTTTTCATCACCTAAAAATGTCAACGTGTCTAAGTAACCTTGTCACTTGTTAAACTTTGCATTCTATATTATTTGTTTATTAAAAATTTCAGCATTAAATAGTTATACAAGACAATACAATAGATGATATTGTATTCTTATATATATATTATTAGTTAATGTTATTTCATAATAAACTACAGCTTTTTATGTTCAAAACCAAATAAGTATTTTTTGTAACTAAAAAAAAATAAAAATGTTTTGTTTTTTTAACGATAGCTACCTTACAATGATAGAAAAGAGGGTTGAGCCTCTTTTCTATCATTGTAAGGTAGCTATCTTTGTAAGGTTATCTTTTTCTCTATCAAATTTTTAGTTTAAAAAATAATTTTATAACTTATCTGACTTGAAACCTTCAAATAAATGTTGCATTTTGGAAGTAAGGAGTGGGAGGGGAGGGAATTGCAGATATCAGCTAAATGTCAAATATTTATATTTTAAAAACTGCCTTAAGGCAGTTTCTAAAATATAAATTTGGCATGAGTACCAATATGAAATTTGCCCTACTTACAAAGGTGTTACTTTTTTCTGGTTGCTACGGGTACCTAATTTAGCTTAGCAACAACCTATTTTTGGTAGATGCAGATTTTTTATGTGTGCTATATACATTAAATTTAACGCTTTTCAAGGTATTTTATGTTTTTTATTTGGTTGTTATGGGTATCATTGCTATGTGTGTGTGTGTGACAAGTTAGTTACATCTGAAAATATCTGCAGTATGGGTCTTATTATCAATCATAGTAATTTCAATTAAATGAATATTATCAATAGATTAGCCATTATAGAGGATACAGCTTGTTTGTATCAGGTGATTGGTCTCATTTTTAAATGTCAGCTCCTCCTCACCATGAAGAAGTTCTCTTCACCATGAAGTAGGTGGCTTTACAAGTTTGAGTCACAAAGGCCGACTATACAAAGTTGATGATGTTTTAGTATATCTCCAAAGAATAATCTTTTTATCATTGACAATAGATAAGAGCTCTAAAAGAAAAATGCTTGTTATAAGCAAAGACTCTTACCTCTTCAGTTTAGGAGGTATAAGTAAGCACACAGTAAAAATACTAATTTAGACCCCCTTCTAGTAAGTGACAGTAAGTGAAAATTAGATTTTTTACAAACCTGGCCCTGGCAAAATTATAAAATTATGCAGGGGTTGATAGCAGAGGCCAGGAAAAAATTTATAAAGTTATACTTTTTATATTATAAGTTTATGCATACGTTTACTATTTATTAAAAACTAGCATTAGGTTGCAAGCAACCACTATTAACTTATGAGTTACTAGAAAATAAAAAATAGGGTAAAAAAGCAAGGATGTATTTAACTTAAGACTTAAAAAGTTTTAGGTTGTATGAGTGAGGAAAACATGAAGATGGGTCAGAGTTTTAAGGTTTTGTTGATTGAGAAAAACAACTAGTGAATAGAATTTATAGCATGAAGGGACAAATACAGTAAGCTAAGTGATAATAAGTTTTGGTTGATCAAACTAAAGATGATAGCTGATATGAGCAGTGACCATAATAGTATTTGTGGAAAATTGAAAAAGATGCAACCTTATGACAATGGCAGAGTGGCTCAAGCTTTGCAAATATAATAGGTTTTTATAATAAATTTTCTACCAAAAATTTAAAGGTATATTTATAAAAATATTATTTTTATATTTTTGTATTGCTTTATTATTGTATCACATTAAATTTTTATAAGACAATGCAATTTAAGAATAGTGATTCAGTCAAGACATATAATTCAAGATCTTGAAAAGACAACAAGACCTTTAACAAAACTATGACGAGACCAAGGGTTTTTTTTTTTATGAAGACAAGACCAAGTCATAAGAATAAAAATCAAGATCATGCCAAGACCACAAGAAATTTTGTTTTTTAACTATTTAATGAATTATATTAAATAACGATTAATAACATTCTTTTACTAAGTAATGATTAATAACATTCTTTTACTAAGTTTAGTCACGTGGAACATATAAAATTTACTACAGAAATGTTTTTCATGCGTTTTATACTATTGCCAAAGTTGATGGTATACTTGCTTTACAGAGTGGTTTAGTCCCAGCACTTTGTTATCAGTTTGTGATGAATGGAATCAGGCTAGGTAAATATCATTTTCAAACTAAAATATTTATTTTTATTTTTATGAAATTTGTTTCACATTTCAAATTGCATACCTTTGTTATATAAGGTAATAAATGTGTACAATATTTTTCGTATCGTTGTAAAGCTATGGAACTCTTCTGTGTTTTATTTTAGTGTCAAAGGGTTGTAAAGTCCATGGTTGTAAAGTTCATAGTTGTAAGGTCCATGTTTAACAATTTTACAATTTAAAAAACAAGTTTATTGATATTAATTATAGTTTGTGACTGCAATTTTAGAATTTAAAAACCAAGTTTATTGATATTAATTATAGTTTGTGACTAAAATTTTTTAAGGTTAAGTATTAGATGAACATCTAATCATTGGTTCAGATGAATTGGATTCATTAAATTCATGATGAACAAAGATGTTCATCTAATTTTAAAACAAATGTGTTGATGGTAATTTCATGTAAACATTTTGTTAAAAATGTTTATATGAAATTACCATAAACTCATGGAAAGATAGCAATGCCAAGGTGGAAACACACAGAAAGATAGCAATGCCAATCTATTTTTTTAACTTATTGAACTTTGATTTTATTAAGTAAAAAGAAATTCACAGGATTCACTTGAACCTAACAATTCACAATTGTATATATAATGATTCAATGGAGCCTTCTAATAAGTAATATTGTTTGTTTTTATAATAACTAAAATCATTAATGTTTTTCATTTCTTATATATTATCTCTGTATTATTTTTTCATTTATAATATCTTTCATCTTTTTTTTTTCTAGGATCATATCAGATAATGGTAAATGCAAAACTTACTGAAGATAGAGAAGGAAAAATAAGTTATTTGAGGTGTATGGCAGCTGGTGCATTATCAGGGTGCACTGGTGCTGCTGTCTGCAGTCCAATTTTTATGGTAATAAAAATATAGTACAATTAATTTTTATTCATTTTTACTTGAATTTTTTATTCTTTTTTACTTTTCCCTATAAAGCAGAAATTTTTAATAAGAAATTTTATTTTCATTTTTATTTTTCAAGACTATATAAAAAAGTAAAAATTTTAATTAAACATTGTTTTTATTAAAATTTTTATTAAACATTGTTTTTATTGAAATTTTTATTAAACATTGTTTTTATTGAAATTTTTATTAAACATTGTTTTTATTAAAATTTTTATTAAACATTGTTTTTATTAAAATTTTTATTAAATATTGTTTTTATTAAAATTTTTATTAAACATTGTTTTTATTGAAATTTTTATTAAACATTGTTTTTATTGAAATTTTTATTAAACATTGTTTTTATTAAAATTTTTATTAAACATTGTTTTTACTAAAATTTTTATTAAACATTGTTTTTATTAAAATTTTTATTAAACATTGTTTTTATTAAAATTTTTATTAAACATTGTTTTTATTAAAATTTTTATTAAACATTGTTTTTATTAAAATTTGTAAAGATTGTAAAGATTTATTGAAATGTTTTCCAAGTTAACAATTGAAGCAAAATAAAGGTTTGAACAAAATTTTAAGTACAAAAAATTAATGGTTATAATATTTAATGGCTCTTCTTGTCTTGATACTGTTGAAATAAAAAAATGCCAAGCCTTATCTTTAATCTAACATCATCAAGTAACAAATATATGATTGTAATATTTTCTCTTTTTTTTACAAACCTACAGTGCTCCAGAGCTTTCTACAAAGTTAATCACTTGCTTGTACTTGTCAAACATATTGTTCACATACTAAATAATTAATTTTTTATCATTTTCAATGAGTAGAGCCTGTTATCAAGCATAGTTATTCGGTAGATTCCAAATTTATTACATAAATACACTCTAGTCTACATATATCTTGTCGTTGATATGGAGATCAGGTTTGAATTGCAAACTCAATATGTGGTTTGACATATATTATGGACAAGACTTTTCACAAGAAAAGGCCTCAGCTTCTATAAGCTTTTTTGAGTAAGCCTAACACGCAATTGGCTCTTGCTGCTCCCGCTTCTACTTGATATTTCACTTTCAAATCATGAGAAACGTAAATTCTCTAATCGCGTTCATTTTGGGTGCATTCAAGTATTTTTCTGTTTCCTAATTGATCAAGCATTGTGTAGTTTTGAGTGGATTTGTTAATTAGATTAATTTATT